TATTCTTCAGATACATAACAGTTCTTCCAACCATTACTTTGTTAGAGACATGCTGGAGTGTTTGGTTCTACTACAGCCCAATCACTAGATGTATATTTATTCTTAACAAGCCCTGGTATGAATACTTTACTTTTTGGTGGTACAATAATTGCACCTCTGGTAAAATAATTGTCACAGCTTTCTTGGCAACATGTTATGTGAAAATCTGCACATATATACAGAGTAAATGACAAACTCAAAATAAATGCTATAGTATTAAAAGAAGATATAACTACATACTATATATTTATATAGCACACTTTCTTCTCTTCCTCACTTTAGGCTTCTCCTCATGTCAGCAACTGATTTTAAAATCAAACCAAGACTCTCTGTTGAACATGAGAATATTCAGTAAACAACCCAATAATCTGTGTTCAATTATATGGTACACCATCATGACATAGGGTTGTTGCCAATATGGCAGAAATGTTCTCAACTTCTACACAATATCCAGAATCAGAACATCCAATGAATGTACAGTGTCTTGCTGCTTGGCAGGAGACAATCCATTTTTGTTTCTGTTCTTGGGCCCAGGTGATAATGTATGATTAAATCATACTCTTGCAATGCTGTTATTCAGTGTGCTTTATCCCTTCAGAATTTCAAAGTTCATCACCCACTTTATTGGCTCAAACAGTGAATTGTTCTCTCATAACAAATAGTGCATAGTGTTTTATTAAGATCATTACTGTATCAGTTTTCTTCATTGTACAGTATCTGTTGTCAGGATTTGTAAGCATATGCAATTACACATTCTACTCTGTCATGCAAATGGAATAATACTGCTACAATCCCACTATTACTTGATATGCTTTGGCTCAGGCAATTATCTCTCCTAGAAGGGACAAGATCCCAGTGACATTTTGTAATTCTGGACCATCAGTTATCCAGTTGCACATTGAGATGGGCATCAATATGGTAAGCAAAGTAGAAATAACTAATGCTAGGGTTGCATCCGTCACACCCAAAAGTAAATACATGGTTACCAACACATCTGAGATTGCTAGTTGAGGACTGTAAAAACAATCTAGACTCAGTGCAACAGTAGCAACTCAGAGATGTGTTTGCAGAATATGCCCTTATATTTATGGTACTGGATGGTTAATTAGGTCAAACAACAGTGGCATGACATTGCATAACTACAGATGATGCATATCTGATTAAACAACCACCACACAGGCTTCCCTGAAGCACTAGGGATGTAGCCATAAGTGAAGTAAAGTGGGTGTTAAAGAACAGAACCATACAGCCTTCAGAGAACGTTTGGTCATCTCCAGTAGTGATTGTCAGGAAAAAGAAAAGTATGCTCATATTCTGCATTTATTCTAAATGGGTGAATGCAGTTACTTGTATTGATACCATTCAATTACTAAGAACACATTTGGAGACATTGGAAGAGACTCATTAATTCAATATGTTGGGCCTGGCATCCAGATACTGGTTAGTCAAGCTGAATAACAAGAGCATACTTCAGACTGCTTTCAGCATGAGAGATGGCTTGTACGAGACTTGTCTTATGCTGCTCTGCCTGTGTAATATACCCACCACTTTCAGTGATCTAATGGAGCTTACACTGAAAGGGCTACAATAGGAGAAGTGTTTATTCATACCTTTATAATTCTGTGGCTGAAACATTATAATGGAATTTTAGTGAATAAAAAAGGCAATCTTTAAACTGAAACCAGGAAAATTTGCATTCATGTACATGGAAGTGGAATTTCTTGATCATATTGTGGGTAGAGAAGGAATATCCATGAATCCTAAATTAGCACCAGTTTGTAAGTAGCCTCAACATGTGACCGGTCAAGAAGTTGTAGTTTTCTTGGTTTTGTGTTGTATTCCCAAAAGTTCACTTTGCCCATATTTGCTCTTACTAAGGCAGAGACACACTTCTGAAATGTGGTTTAGTAGAAGCCATGATGTTTGTTGCTTGCTTTCTGGACAGGAAACAGCCTATTTCAGGCACGGGCTGTACAACTGTATTATAGAGTACTAATGTACTACTTTGTCCATAGTAAACCATGGAATACCATTTGTACTGTGACTTCCTATCACGCATAAACACTCCTGGAGTCAATCAGGTTGACACTGGATAACTCTACTGTGGTATATCAGATCCTCAGATGCATAACCAAGACTAACTGATATCTTCTGTAGTACCTCTATATCCAAAGGATGCTGATTCCAGAACTTTTATTCTTTAAGCAAAACCCCAAGACATAGTTGGAGCATGACCTCTCCATTCACCAGAATGAAGTTTGTGTTGAATGGCCAGAGTGGCACCTAATATACTTCAAAATTTACAAGTGTTCTGTCTGCTCCGTTATCAACCAAGAACTATTTCTAGCTAACCCTTGTACTTCGAATGGTATATACCAAGACCCATCATGCCCTGAGAGAGCTGGGCAGATCACAGCACTATTAAGTGCACATTGTTTGTTACACTCTCCCAAGTGAGTGGTGAGGCCCAACTTGGGCTCTACTGTCTCACCTGCTGGTGAGATAGCTCCTGTTAACAGACATGTCCTACCTATGGCACCTCCGGTCTCTCTTTGAAGTTAGGGGGAAGTTTTGACCAGAGCTGGGATTGGATTACTATGACTGGCATGAGTCTTAAGAGTTCTATACAGACTGCCCCATTTGGCTTCAGACTTGCTAGACATCACACCACCTTGACCATTCTATGCATAAAAGTGACTAAATCAAGCATTCCTTATTTCAGAAGAAATTTTGTATTTATCCAGAGCAAGTAGTGTTACCAATATGACCGGTTATTGCCATTCAAACATAAATGAGGTCATAGCCTGGAAATATGATCTGAAATACCATTGAAGGACATTGCTCTTGACAACGTGCAGTACTGAAGCATTACCTCCCCCATGGCAGAACAGGTATTATTTTCTTGAAAAATAATAAAGGAACAAAGGCAGCAAGAACAAAATCAACTTAATGGCATTCTTGACCATCTGTTATGTGAAACCTACATATATACAGAATAAATATTACATATAATGTTACAAGATAGAACCATATGGTATATTCATATATCACAGTAGAACCTGCCTGAAGATCACTTGATATAAACATTAATTTCCAGTATAATGTTAAACATGGGATTGCCCATCTTACTGGGGAGACTTGGCATCTATTTACACATATAGTTGTAAGTTTATTTAATAAATTAGGAAAAATAAAAAAGTTGCATATAAATCAGCACTATTAGTGGCATGAGCTGAAGCAGCAGCAGAAGAGAGTTTTATCAATAACAATACAGACTTTAGGCACTATTTAACTTGAAGCACCACAAAAGGCTGCATTTATATATTGCATTCTCATAGTTCATCATAAATCTCAAATCAGGAGTGTATGTACAGACAGCAATCTAAACATTTTGACTACTACAAAACTCCTCAAAATTCATGCTAGAAGGACCCGGAGATGTTATTTATACTGAACATTAACCATTTTGAGGTGTAACTCATTTGATAAGATGGAGAAGTGAGAAATTCTTGCAAGTTATAAAACTTTACTGCTGATGTTTATGTCATAGTTCTCTTAATTGGAAATAAATATGTCTTCTAAAGCTCAACAAATTCTAAATTAAAAAAGAATTTATACATTTGGTATAAGCATTAATTCCCTCTACACTTGATAACAGATTGCACAAATCCTTTTCAAGCTAACATTTATTTCTTTATAATAACACAAATGAGAATAGAAATGGGTTTCTTTTCACGTGATCAAGTTTAAAAATGTAGAATAAAACCTAGCAAATGATTTAACGTAGTTTCATCAATAAGAGTCTATCAAAGAGAACACTTGCATTTCTAGTTCAGTTTGACTTCTTTGTGAAGTTATTCTTGAGGTCTCAGTGCATAGTAAAAATGTAAGTTTTTCTATTGTTCATTTTAAAATTTTTATTCCACAAGTCCTGTACCATTATTCAAGTTCTCAGATATTGTAAAATGTGTAGTTTAATACCATTTACTTAAATATGTCTATCAATGACATAAACCTACCAGCTTCAGAAATGCAGCAGTTTCAAGACTATTGTGTTAAATAAGCCACCATCTAGCTGAGGTACGTAGTTAGTACAGTATGAAGTATATTTATCATTTCAATAAACTATAAGAATATTATTCACTTAACTACCTACAGTAAGATGCTCAGCAGCAGTTTCAAAACTATTGTGTTAAATAAGTCACCATCTAGTTGAGGTACGTAGTTAGTACAGTATGAAGTATATTTATCATTTCAATAAACTATAAGAATATTATTCACTTAACTACCTACAGTAAGATACTCAGCAGCAGTTATAATGTTAATAAATTTTGCTAAAAAACAAAATAAAGCACAATTTAATCTTTAAATACAATAAGGGCTCAAGAGGTAATATATTTGAGGTTTGCAACAAATAAGAAAACAATAACTGAATGCCTGTTTCAAAATGTAGATGTACTTACCTACATAAAATGACCACAAAGTTAACTTTACAATGTGAGGAAACTTTAAGAACAAATGTATCAATTTTAAGTGACATTTTCTATATATTTTATTTTTAAAGTTCACCACATAGTTTCATTGCCAATAATTTTAATAATGTACTTTTTTCCAAGTGTGAAAAAAAAATTGAGAAGGAAATTTATATTATTAGCTTCAGTAATAATTTTTCCAAATTATTTTTAACACAGCAGAAAACTAAAGAAAAACTTAAGAACATAATTACTTAAAAAAACAAAAAACCATCATTATAATACTTTTCAAAATTTATTTTTAAACCTCTCAGCAGGTTAGAACAATTCTTAAACATTAATGACTTCAAATTATCACTTCAGTGGAAATTCTAACAAAGAATTTTTAACTTTTATAAATATTGAAGATTTCTTTAAAACTTTTCTTATAATATCCATAAGTTTAAAGTGAATTATAAAACATTAATTAGAAAATAAAGAAACAGTATATGGGATGTATAATAATGTTTTATTCATACAAGTTAATACTCTGCAATTTACAAAACAAAGGTTGGGTACCCATGAAAATGATAATGGCATTCAACATTGTGTTTAAACAAAGACTATGAATCAAATATACCACTTTAATTTTTTAACATCTCAACACGCATCTGTAAAATGATTAAACTAGACTATTCTTAAGTAGTTTTCAATACAATATACAGAAGATTAGTTCTCTAACCACTGGTCAATTCCTGGATTGATTGAATGGTTGTTTATAAACAGAAAAAGGAAATCTGTGTAATACCAGATGACACAAAGATTGAGATTCTAAAGTAGAAACAATCTAAAGGATCCAAATAACTATTATATTTTTGGAGATCTACAAGTGTTTTGTTTTAGCAGTTACATATAGAACTTGCTCATTTCCATAATGTGAGGTTTCATAAATGTCCTTACTCTTTCCTCCTTTTTTTGATAATACTTTATAACCAAATATTTTTCAGAAAAACACACAAGTGATGCATGCAACAGTAATGATTTATATTACTGCATGCATATCATAACTAAGATCGCTCTATATCAGGTAAATATACATAGTCACAATCAATGGAAATAATTAATTTTACCTACATGTGACTTTTACACCTTAAACGAAGCTTTACAGCTTGTGTGATCAAGCCAGAGAGTCATCCCGAAACATTAGTAAAACAAAGGAAGATAAAAGGAGGACAGTTTATCCTTGAAACTGAGATAAATTTGGTCTCAAGTATAACTTAATCTAGCAAAACTATATCTTTCATCGATGGTCCAAGTGTGTTTTATTTCTAATTGCACAACTTTATGGGCATTTCAATCACTGTGATGCTTTAGCTACTTTTAATGAAATATTTTCTTTGAAATATTAATTATTAATGATTGTTTGAATTCCTTATTCAACAAACAAAGAGATACTTAATTTTATATACCTTAGTTACAAACTTTGGACTTTTGAAACAGTAATCCTATGCTGCAACTAGGTTTTACATGGAGGAAATAAATACTGACGTTCCACTAAAGTCAAGCATAATTGTATTATTAGTCACTGATATAGTTGATTTCTTTAATGACAGTATCTTCAAATTATAATAACATGACATCAAGACAGTCTCCAAAAACAAATATAATGCATGTTGCATAGGATAAATATGGTTTACCATTTCAAAACTGCCAAGTTATTGATATAAAATTAACAAAGAAAAAAGTTTGCTTACATGTAAAACCCATTTATTATGAAGACTGAGTAAAGTTATTTTTAACATTCTGCAATGATAAAAGGGTTTCACAACATGTTTTCATTAAGGAACAAAGGTGTACACTGCCTTCCACACACTGACTCTTCTTAAGTTCATTACTAGCCCAAGTTAACTTTTCCAACAAAGCTTCTGTGGACTGTGACAGGCATGCTGCCAAATGGTTGTCTTGTTTACAAGCTGTAACTCCCACATCACTTCTTGATTTTGAAGCTGATGTTAAGCTAGCAGTTGTTGGAGATACTGATGCAAATATTGTGTCCTGTGACACAAATACAGCATCTTGTGATGTTGTAAAACTAGGTTGAATTCCTGGTGGTGGCAATGATGCAGAAGACATAGTTGAGGATACCACCTCAGGTGGCTGGTTTCTGGTTGTTTGTTCAGGAGAAGATAAAACATAATGTACTTCCTCTTTTTGTCGCTTTGCTGCTGTATCACTTAAAGCTACACAAAAAGTTAAAAATAACAACAATAAATTGTATGGTATTTCTAGCAAATTTTCTTAAGGTAAGAAAAAATGGCAACTGAAAAAGGAGTAACAAACATACCTTTTTATACACTCAAACACAAGACAATGTAAAAGAGAATACAAAGGAGAAAACGTTTTACATTATTATACTATCTTACAATGTCTTTTTGTTAATTTGAGTTTTATTTGCAAAACAGATCAAAATGAATACATCTCAAAAGAAGCTAGAATGTTTCATGCATATGATGTTTCAACTTCAGCACATAATGCTTCAAAAGGTTTACATGTGAGCTAGGGGTGACAAATCTACTGTATTGCTAATAAGACTGTTATTCATTCTGTTCTTGCATTTGTCATAAATTAGATTTGGTCAGAGAGCTCGTTCTACAGAAAAACAAATGTTCTGAATTTTTTTAATAGTATTCAAGTTATCATTACACAAACTACAACAAAACTTTCTGTTCACACTTTGAATGTTTTTTTTTCTTCAGAATTTGTAGTGCATACTGGAGGGATTTAGACACATTGGCCATAAACTTGGAAAAAGAAACAAAACAAAAAAAAACAACCTATATTCTCCAGAGCTCTTGCACTACTGGCCTTGAAGTAAATTTTTTTTTATTATCTGGAAATTAATGGTCATTTTTTTAAACTTTATTTCTTGAATGAAAATGTTTTTATGCGTATACAATGTTAAATTTATTTACCTTTTCTAGTCTACATAACTTTTAATTCTGAAAAGTACATAGTTCATTCATGTGGATCTGCTTAGTTGGAGAAATTATAATTCCTATCCTCCATTTTTATAGTACAACCAACATTTTTAATGGGTATTATGTTACATATTTAAATTTTGCCAAATGTAATTTTATGATTAACTTTGAGCTAGATTAAAATACTTGTTTAATGCATTTGAGATGAACTACAGAGAAGGAAGATTTAAACTAAACATTTTGGCAGTTACACATAAAACATGTTCATCTTCATAATGTGAGGTTACATACATGTCCTCAGTCTTTCATATTTTCTTGATAACTTCATAACCAAATATTTCTCAAGAAAAACATACAAATGATGCATACAACAGCAATGATTAATATTACTGCAGGCCTATCATAACTAAGATTGTTCCATATCAGGTAAAAAAATAAATGAAATACCAAAAGAACACTAATGTTGTCTATTCTTAGAGCTGCTGCTTTTCTGTAATTTATATCAAGAAATTACAACTTCTAAAGATATCTGAAAGATCAAGAATATTGGACATGTCAGGACTTTTACTAAAAGAATTACACTTCATTTTAGACATAGTTTTAATATTGTTGTAAACTTAGAGGATAAATAAATCATAATTTTATAATAAAATCAAGCAGGAAGCACATCGTGTTGAAAACAATATGAATATAAAGTACCGAACACACATCCACATCATGTTGAAAACAATATGAATATAATGTACTGAATACACATCCACATCACGTTGAAAAAGGTATAAATATAAAATACTGAACATGCATCCACATCATGTTAAAAAAGGTATGAATATAAAATACTGAACACACATCCACATCATGTTAAAAAAGGTATAAATATAAAATGCTGAACACACATCCACATCATGTT